GACCTCCTAAGGTTCCGAGCCTACCTCGTTCTAACTGAAAGTGCTTGAAGATAGCACGCAACATGATTCTCCCTACGGGCATCCCACCTGACGAGATTCTCTCTTGTTCAACCATATTCTGAAACAAGAGCCCGAACTTACCTTTGCGGCAGGTCTTAAGGAGCTTTGCGGCTATTTCACGATCTAACCGTGGGAAACGCTTGTCCGCGATGAGTTCTTGCTCGGTGGAGGACATGCATGCTTGGGCCCACTGGTAAACTTCATCTCCGGGGGTCTTCTGGAGTCGACCGATGGCCATCAAAACTTGGTTGATGAAACCTCTAGCCTGACCAGCGTTCTCCGGAGGGGACGGCAACACGAGATCCTTGAGGTCCTTGACGCGAACAACGGATTCCTCATGCGTGGCGTGATCGGTGACGGTCATGCCTACACTAGGATCGGCAGCTTGTGACGGGTCTGCATTGGGGAACTGGCCAGGGCCTCCCCCACCTCCCCCACCACCATTCATGGTGAGGTATGGGCAATCCGTGTCTTCATGGCTGCCGCCGCAAACTCGACATTGTGGGGTATCATCATCTCCATCAGAGTCTGATGATGTGTCGGAGCTTGCTGCCGATGGCGCTTGTGGGGATGACGAGTATAACCCTCCCAACATTGTGATTGGTACTGGTGGAACATGAGTGCCATTGCCAGCTTTCGGCGGAGGCGGCGCCCCAAAAAGGGGAATGGGAGGCACTGGAGGTGGTGCGGCCGGAGGCGGAGGTGGCGGAGCCACTTGATTAGCAACCAATTGGGAAAGCTGCTGAACCATTTCCGCTAAAGCCGTCACTTGCACTCTCACATCGGCTTGATCCCTTGAACCGTCTCTACCCAACCCGCTAGTCCTCGACGCGCCGGGGGCTGCGTCTCCAACAGAGGACGCTGCTCCTAGCACTGCCGAATGGCCTACGAGATGTTGACTTGTTGCACCCCCACCAGGGTCCCTTGAATCAGCTGGGGCATCGTGACCAAGTCCTGTACTTTGAACAGAACCACACGGAGGGTCGGGGATAGTACTTGTAAAAGCATTCCCTTGCGACGATGCGGCAACACCGGAGGCATCTTGTGAACTTGAAACCTGAGGTGCTCCAACCGGCTGATGGGTTCCTGGGGGAACTGTGCCTTGACTTGAGGCCTTAGCCGCGCTTGTTTCCGTAGCTGTTTCGGCTATTGATGCGGCTTTTGGCGGGGACTCTTGCATCGGAACAGGGGTCGCACGAGCTTGTTGGGTGAGCTGCGCAACAACACGTTCAAGATCACCAAGTCGTTGATGCATCACAGAATTTTCCTGGGACAATCCACGGATGGTATGCTCTTGACTGGCAATGGTTTGCTCCCTTTGTAGGATTGCCTGTTGAGCCTCTTGAACAATGCGTTGAACCTCTTGCTGAGCGTCCTGTTGAGTGGCATTAACAACCTGTCGTGCGTTCTCGACATGGCCTAAGGCTTCCTGTCGTGTCTGCTCAATGAGTTGCCTAGCCTGAGCCTCACTTTGTTGTGCTGTTTGAACAGCCTGCTGTGCTTGCGAAGCTAGCTGAGCGGCCTGAACCCTAACGTCTGAAACTTCTCTAACAGCCCTTTCCCTGATCCATCCGGCCTCTTGTCTCGCCTGATCGGCGGCCTGCTGTTGGTGCAAGGCGTGATTGGCTGCCTGAGCAGCGAGGTCGGATGCTCGATGAGCTTGCTGCACCGCAGCTCCAGCTATAAATGCCGCAGCGGGTACGTTAGTCATCGGGTCAGGTAATTGCGATCCCTGTGAAGGAAACTGAATGACTGGGGAAGCTTCGGATGATGTCGGTTCTGACACGATCGGACCACTCGGGGGTGATGATGGTCGTGTTTGGGCTGCTCTTTGAGGTGTGGATGTGCGAACTGTGGACATAGCTGCAGGAACCATGGCTAGGTCAGGGTCATCCGGTTCAGAATCCCTATTTGGGGTTGACCTTGAACGGGGTTCTGATGGCGGTGACAAACCCGTTGAAGCCATGACACAGCAATGCAACTTTTGCACTCACACGAAGCTAGCTCCACGCGCTTTGAGCAGCGTGTCAAAAGGTGCTACGAGGAGATATCCCTGGATTGGCAGCTGATTGCGACACGCTCAAGTGAGCCACTCAAGAAAATACGTTGCGAAACGCTCAAGTGAGCCACTCAAGAAAATGCGCCCTGCTGCTTTGCACCTGATGAATTCTGTATTTGTAATTGTACTTGTAGATTGATTGATCCGCACTGCCGCACTATGGTGCTTTATCGAGGGATGTTGCCAAGCTGTATTGAGAATTTGTCTGCAAATCGAAGGCTTGTAATTGCAAAAGCTGTACCGCGCAAAGCGACGGTTTTAACGGCTTGCAGCAATGGCTATCGAAGTACCCGGCTGGCGGGCAGCTGGGATGCAGATCGGTGGATCTCCTCGAGGTACTGCGATGGATGCAGGCCCCTTGCCGCCGGAATGGATTGTCTGTTCCGGGACTCGATGAACTCACCAAGGTTCTCAAGCGCGTTGGCAAATCCGCTCGGACCGAAGTGCGGAAAGTTGCGGAACGCCGCGATGCCTGTCTTTTGAGCTTCACGGACAATCGATGCTGTATCGTCAATAAGGGCGTGTACGCCCAGCCCTTGCAGGGCGTCTGCTTTGCCTCCCCTTCCCAACCGTTCGTGAACGATTTTTATCGCAGAAAAAGTGAGTCCAGATGTTGTCCGCGCGTGCTCCAGGGCGACCTGAAATTCGCGGCGGCGATACTCGCTTGCAGCCCTGCCCACGAAGGATAGCACTATAAAATTTATAGGTGCGTAGTCCGCTGCAAACTGAACGAGATGTCGGATCACTTCCGGGTTGAGGTGGGGTCCCTGCTGCCCAACGTCAAGAACTCCGTGCCAGTCAAGAGCAACAACAAGCTCCTTGGGCGGCACCGGCCTTCCAGGCGGAGGTGGTGGCGGCGGGGGCGCAGGCGGTGCCCTCCTTGGTGGCGAGCGGAATCGCGTGCCAGCTTCGGGAGTTGCAGCGCTAGCAGCAGCTGCTTGAACGACCTGCGGAGGCGGCGGCTTGACGATGTACCCGAATTGTGGCGGGTTTGAGCTCGATTTGCTTCTGGGTTCGGCCTTGTTCAAGCCTCGCGGAGGTGCCTTGTAACCGAATGCACTCTGAGTCCGAACCGGAGATCTGGCCCTTGGCGGTGACTTCCTCGGGATGTCTGCCTTTGCAGGCGCTGGAGAAACTGCCTTGGGGACCTCCTTGGGCACCGGTGGCTTGCTGCCGAAGATGACCTTGGGAGCGGCCTTTGGGGGCGGCGGTTGAACTGCCCCGATTCTTCGGCTGTGAAGCGCGATGGGCTCGGAGTGAGTCGGCGCCTCGTAAACGCGCCGAGGCACGTATGCTGACCTGCCCGTCCTGATGGACTCCAAGTTTTGCGGTGGGTCCTCGTCCGAGCTGTAGGCGTCGAGGCGGAAGGTTTCCGCAGGCGCCGGGCGGCGGTCAGGAGACCGTGAGCGTGAGCTCGTGGAGGACCTCCTTGGCGGGTCCCTCCACGTCTCGTCAGCGAGGAGGTAAGGATCGGCTTGGCGAAGCTGCCCAGACGTCCGTTGCGCTCGCCGACGAGGAGCCGCTTCACGTGGTTGTGATGCCTCCCGCACCAATACCCAGGTACCGTGTTCGTCAAACCTCGTCACAGGGTAAATGCTATTCTGCGGAGCCAAAACGATGGGCCGAGTGGCTAGGGAAGTTCTGGATGGCCTTCCCTCCCGCGCAAGCGCGGGTTCAACACTATGGGCCCGTGGTTCCACAGGGGCAGCAGCAGTTGGTCCTCGTCTCGGTGATGTTGATGGAGACCTCGACCTTCTTGACGATGGGGACCTCGATCTTTGTGTTGATCGCTCCCTGCTGCTCTCCCGCCGCGTTTCCGCAGCTTTAGCGTATACCCCGCGAAGAGTTGACTTTGCGGCTTGTCTTTCCTCTGCAGATGGCCGAATGCGAGGCAAGGGAGTGCGCGAATCTTGCAACCAGGAGGAAGCTGATGGAGGCGTCGGAGGACGAAGCCAATCCGCTGCACTGCTCGATGCTCCCGCCGCGCCTGAGGCTGCGGCTTGATCCTGAGATGGCACACCCTGCGGCAAGACCACTCCTGTGGTTTCAACCAATGCGAGACGCTGCTGATAAGCGTTGTCCGCGGCCTGGATCACGTCGAAGGCTTCTTGGTCAAAATTCCACAGGTGCCAACTATCCAGTGACTCACGCCAGGAGAAGAGCGCCTCGACCTGTTGCTTCGAGGCGTCCGCAAACCTGATCCACCGGAATCGTCTGTTCTGCCGCTTGTACTCGTCGACGACGATCTGTTGCAGAGTGTTGTACAATCGGGCACGCGGCCCTTTCCCACCGCGTGTGCCGCGGTGAGGGCCGACTTCCATGTGCGACCAACAGGTCGCAGTCACGAAAGGGTTTGTTTACCCGAAAAGCGTTACGGCTGATAACCACTCAAAGGAGAGGGAAACACAGTTTTGTCAACAACGGGGGAACCCGGGACCTTAAAAGGAACGAACCCCTCCGTGACTGCGACCTCTCCCTTAACCTTGTGGGGCAGCGCGAGCCACGCGCTGTTTTCAGCACTTGAGCCAAAGCAGTGATTGAATCATGCTTTGGCAATGACTTGAATGTACAACATGCAACTGACTACATGGGGACCTACCTCATGTACCTCTGGGCCATAAATGTCATCGTGATAATTGACTTGATCACACCAGAATGGACACAGGGGTTGCGATACAGGTTTGTTCCTCCAAATAGCCGCCGTTCTTTTAGGTTATGATGTGAAGCCTCTATCAAAAAAGGTTTTTCACCATGGAAACCCACTATTTTCAAAAAACATACCCCAACACAGGCGGGAATCCACAGAACATGACTTGTCTTTTTCACTCTCCGAGTCCGAAAAGCCAGATCACGGCCAGACATCCAAGTCCGGCCAGGCCACCATTGCTCTTCTTGCAGTAGAGCGAGCTGTCGCCCAACAGGCCGTAGACACCTTTGGTCATGGCCGTCCTTCCCTATCTGCGAACTCAGAATGGCTTGAGCCAATCGCACGGAAATCCAGCTTTCTGGGAAGTGATCACGGGCTTCTCATGTTGAAGCGCACCTAAAAACTGGCAACCATTGCGTGTTACATGCCATGAAACAGGTTTGGACCGAAATCTTTGTGAGATCGACAAATTTCATTTTCGAAGATTAGTCGACGCCACTGTGGGATGCAGGGTATTCTTGGTGTTTACCCATGGGAAGCTCAGAAAGTCTTTGATCAGTTCCTGCTCGCTAGGAAAAGAGGGCAACAAAAACGCCTTGTAAAAAGCCTTAAATCACAAACATGGTGTACCCAGAACACGCAAAGAATTGAAAAGGCGGCTGAACCCATGTCTGGCTGGGATTGTCCCTTACTGCTCCTCCAATTACCCGGGCTTTGATCGTGGCTCAAGTGAGATTCTCATCGCCAACGTCAGACATTTGGCTGGGTGAAGTGTACCCACGTGGCAAAACCGAAACCGAAGCCGCCTTGCGCAAGAGCCCCGCGGGCCTCAGTGGCGGCTGAATAACCCACTGTCCACCTTGAAGAGCTGATGAATGCCTCACCCCCTCTTTGCGGTGCAATGGGGAAAATGGGTGTGCAGGTTCAATGGCTGGTTTCTAAGGTTGGACCCCCAAGATGGTGGGTCTAGTTTTTGGTTGCCCAAAAAAACACGGAAAAGGGCACCCTCAATTGATCATAGATCGCAAAACTGAAGTAAGGAAATCCTAAGTAACGGTACCTTCATCAATGGCTGGTTTTACCCTGGTTCGGCGAGCTCCCTCTAGTGCAGATGTATGGGTTCATGGGTTGAGAAACATCTGCTCTGATGCTAGTCAGCATCGTGCTTGCAAAAGCCAGTTGTTTTTGCCCTATTGTTTTGGCTGTTTTCTGGGAAAGCTTCAGATCTCTGCGAACATGGAAACATTCCCCCCAACGTCGAAACATAAATTGCCCATCGGACCAAAACGTGTGGTTTTCCCGTTGGCTTTCCTTTAAACCCACCAAAAAGGGGTACAACTCCAAGAAGGGACACACCCAACTTGGTGTGAGGACACCTTGCTCCATTTGCTTAAGTGCCCTGGAACAACATTTGACAAGCAAATCATCCAGTGATAGATTCCCTTTCAAGCCAGGGAAAACTAGATTCTACCTAACAGGGGAGAATTAACATATATTCTGAATCGCGAATGGACGCCCTTTCAGATTTGAAGGGAAAGACACAACTCCACGCTGGGCTGCAGGGCGGATAGTCCCACAAGGGGCCCCTGGAGCGATGCGTCCACGCCTGCACAAGACATGCGACCGGGTGGCCGATGTGGCACGCCTTGTGTGGCCGATGTGGGTCGACAACCGGCGGATTCTCCCAGTGGTTTCCCTTTGAAGAAGCAAAAGGGCCTCAAAGACACTTTGTTGCGTGCAACCCTGAGATCTGTCTGGCCGGTTTGGGCGACTCGCAAACACCACTAGGCCATGAGGTTCAGTTGTGCCGCCCCTAGCGCAAGCGAATGTCATGATTGACGGCTTGGTGAAGGTCCTAAACCTCGAGGTCACAACTTCATCTGCCACAAGCAAATCCATCGCAAGAAACATACAAGCAGGAGCATCACCCCCAAAAGCTCGCCGTACACTGGCACAAGGTCATAGTTTTTTCGCCACCCTTCACGGTGGTAGGATCGGGAGACCTCAAATCCGAGAGCCACAAGGGGCCTCCAGCGTCAGAGGCGAGTTGTTGTCCAGCTGTCCACCGAAGACCAGCCAGGGCACCTGGCAACGTCTCTCGCGTCTTGTTCGGGGCCATTCCTTCTGCCGGCAGAGGGCCAAAAAAATGATGCTTTTTTTGGGGCTCAATTTGCGTGGAGTTCGGGACGCTTAGAGGAAAACCGAGAAAATCCTTGGCATATGTCCAAGTGGATCTGAACATTTGACGGAATTTGTTCAAAGCAACAACAATTCGTTGGCTTGCTTCTAAAAAAATCAAGAACGATCCAACACCCATCAAAACCCTCCTCCCCCCCGTTATCCGCTTGGGAACCCACCGTTGGACCAGATACAACCCTCTGACACCAACCCTCCTTCCCCCCCGTCGCTTAAAGGACATCCGATTCGATTGCGCCTCCAGGGCGGCCAGGCGCGAGCGCAGGGCCTGCGCCCGGGTTTGAACCACCAGGGGAAACACACCAACAAAAAGGGGGAAAAGCCAAAACCACAGGGGGTGGTTTACCCTCCAAAAAAAACATCCGAGATATTTTATCAGAAAAGTGTGCAGGCAGATGGAAAGAGAGATTCGGCATACATGTCCATGGGCAGAGATTGTGGATTGGAGACATACAGAAATGTAACGTGCATCAAATGGACTGGGATATGTCTTAGACGCTTCATTGTGGAGTCGAGCCATCTTCAAGATGCACCTCCACAATTTCACACAGGCAGACAGGAGAACTATCAAGAGGATCTACGCAACTGGCTGGTTCTTGAAATCCTCGCATTTGCTCGCTTCGCTGGTGTTCGGGGAAATGGGCGTTGATTGTTTTCCATAACAGCCTAGACATGGTCAAGCTGCATTAGCAAAAAGGGGACCAACAAAAAACAGGGGGACACCGATGTTTCCATAAGTTACCAAGGAAAAGCTGAACCATGGCAACGTTGATCGCCGAGACAAAAAATGACCTGTGGGTCAAGAGGGAAGGGGCCTGCAGAGGCTGCAGCGCGGGTCTCAGGTGATGGTGCCAGCTGGGCACCAAGTACCTGCGGAACCATCCCCGGCTTTGGAGGAACGGGATGGCACCCCAAGGACTTAGCCCACGGTTTCCTCAGATCCCAAAGGGAAAAGCCAAACCTGGGGGCCCCTTGAGCCTTGCCAAGCCCCTTTGGCAACCCCTACCGAGCAAAGTCGGGGCGTTGAACAATAACATGGACAACTGGCAATTCTCCATCCGATTTTGGATCGGCCGTAGGGCCGTATCAGTGAGTTTCTCTTGAGCCTTCGGGACGCAACCCGGGCTTCAGTTGGCAGGGTTCGCCTTTTTGATCTCGAGGAAAGAAGGCGTGGACCACGTGAGCTTCTACACAAAGGGGCCTTGGATTTTCCCCCAAAGCGGGGAAGTGGTCTGAAAGGCAAACTCAACGATATGGTTGCTACTGCGGATGGACGAAATCCATTTCGCACCACCCAAGACACCATGGGAAACCATAACGTTTGTTGGTCTTTACAGGGGATCATATCATTCTAGGGGTGCAGGATTCCGTCCATCCACAGTATGTCCACCTGAAAGCAAAGGATGGTATAGGCCGGACCCGCTTGGAGAGGGCAACGTTGCTCGATGCTTTTCGTTGTGTCGACCCGTTTTTGAGAGCACAGGAGCCAAGTGGTACCAAACCGGGCTTCAACCCACCTTGGCATGATCTGGAAGGAATCTGGGAATGAGGCTTGACTACTTTTAGACCACCAAACCAGCAACTTTGGTTTGGACGACTGACCACCGAACTGGCCCAGTTGGTCTTTCCCTTCGGCAGAATCGCCTGCTGACTGGACTCAAAGTTTTCAAGGGTCGGAGGAGTTGATCCGGGTTCTTCATTGGAGGGCCCGAGACCCTGCATTGGAGGGGTCATGAGTGGGTGGTATGAATTCCAGTGTCCCGAAAAAACATAGCCAGACTTGCGAGGAAGAGGTGGCGAGCCACTTGCGCGACCTGCTGCTGAATGCTCCTCCCGTCAAAAACGCAAAGCCCAGCTGCGAGAAACACGAGAAACCGCCGGCGACGAGAAGTCCAGTGACTCCAGTGCCGGTGGTCGGCTCTGGTCGGCGGTGGGGGAGGGCGACAGCGCAGCCGGAGAAACGCTAGCTGGAACAAGAAAATAACAATAATTGGCTACTTTGGGACATCACACATTGTTGGGCAAATTATTCAGCACCTAAACCGGAAGATGTTGTATCCATATCTCCATATTCTGCGCGTTTGCCAAGCTGGACCCCATTAAAACAAACCAAAAAAAAAGAACAAACAAAACCACTTATGGCAAGGTCGGGGGAAATTGCGAGACCGGAGACCCTCTTCCAATTCAATCCAACTTTCAACGGGTTGTCGTCAAGCTGGAGTTGGACCAAGCTTGAGTTGGACCCTCAAAATGGAGTTGGACCCTCAAAATCCGTAAAAAAAACCTCCAGGGGGATTGGACCCCAAGTGCTCTTGAACACCGGGCGGGAAAAATCCGATTCAAGCTTTCGACCTTCCAGACAAAAATCCAGAGGTCGCTCGTCGTGGCGGTGCAGAAAGATCAAGAAGTCGTACCTTCCACGGCCTCGGCCGAAAAAACCGGAGTCTGGATTTCCGAGTTCTTGGTGAGCCCAGTGGATCCATTTACCTGTATGGTAGGTAGCCAAGAGAACCACCCTTTAAATTGCACATGGGTTTGCCTGGGACCCCCAACTAGGAAGGCTTAAGAACCACATCATAAATACTGTTGGTTTGAGTCTACCTTGAGTTTAAGTCGAGCTTGGGTTCAAGTCGAAGAGGGGCTCAGAACCAATTAAGACCACCTTTCGGTTTGAGCCTACACTGGGTCAAACAAGTCGAGCTTTTGGCGTGAGTCGACCCTGAAGTTCCAGTGTTTGAGCCCAAGCGCTCCCTTGGAAGCCAAGATTCTTTCGAATTGCAGAGCCGATTTTATGACAGGGATTCCTGCAATGCATGGGAAGTCCATAAGGACGGGGCAAAGGGTTGACAAAAACAATTGCGTGTGATATGTCTGTGTTTTTTTTCGACTCGCTTCAGAGTGGTACTAACGGTCGCTGCGGTTTCGCTCTGAGGGTGGGACTTTGGAAAAGGCAGTGGGCGTTGGCCAAAGGCTCCTGGCGCACTCGCGCGGCGATTTCGCCGCTCGCTGCCAAGAATACTTTCCCCGAAGATGTCATGGAAAGGAGGCCCCTGTCAAGTAGGTGGTCCCATTTTATTGAGTCATTTGACATTTGGCAACATGGCGCCCCCGACATCCTCGGCTGTGCCCTAAGAAAGTGGGCTGATCAAAGAGTCCATATGGGTGTGCTTGAGGCTACCCCTTGTTTGGTTTTAAAGGAGTTCCAACCAGGAAACAATTAAGTCATATTTGGGTTACACGTGGGTTTTGACACGGGTATGTCTAAAGAAAAAGCCAATGTGTGGCCCCCCGATTTTGTCAGACACAGCTTCCACCATGTTTTCCGACTCGACGCCCGGCTCGCTCCAGCAGGTCGCGGAAGAAGCGCAAAGAGCCTGCGGAAATGGCCAGCTCGGCGAACAAGGGACCTCCCACAAAGGCGGCTTTCTTTTTGGCTTTCCATGACACACACGCCCACAAAGAGCCGCATTTGGGCTGAACTTGAATCTGACTATTCTGAATGTTTGTGAAGGTTCCCAGGATCTGAGAAGACAAAAGCAAACTGCTGACCCAACTGCCCTGAACGGCTTGGCACAACCCCTCCAGTGCACAAAAGGGCTGGTGAAGGACCCTGGAGACTCATCTGCTTTCAAAAAGCGCAGTGGGTCGACTACTCAAGCCCCGCAACCAGCAAACAGGTTGAGCAGTGGACACAGCGATCCAGAGAAGAACATGGGAATTTGACTGATTGTATGATTTATGCCCCTGTCTGATTCCGAATGCCGTGTCGGCCCTGTCTTTGCTTCTTCCGCTGGGCATGAATGCCAAGCCGGGGCCCCGAGCCGTACTCGTCCTGCCCCTCAGCATTGGCCACGATATGCAGCTTCTCTCCGAAGTGCTGCGCAAAGAAGGGGAAGTACGACCTCGAGTTCAGTTTTAGGCCTTTGACACCAGCGCCACTTCCTTTGCTTCTCAGAAAGTTCACATGAAGGAGAAAGCCCAAGCTCTTTCAATAACTGCATCTGCGCATGTGGATGTGTCTCAAAACACATGCCCCCCGGAGAAAAAAAACAAAGAAGCTAAAGTGGGCTTGGGCTACCCGGAGAGAATGCTGGGTCGGCGGCACGCGGCTGGACTCAACGCTCGAGGCCTCCGCTGAAGCCGGCCAAGCAAGGGACTTGCTAAGGGTACTTCCATTTGACTACGCCCCCTGGAAAACAACTATATATATATATATGTAAGTGTGTGTATATGTATATATATATATATATATCTCTGGGTAGTGATGGATTCCCTTTAACACCAACAGGGGAAATAAGACATGTTGCTAGGGAACTGGAAGGTTATGGCATCAAAAAAGGGGGGTGTCTGACCTTTGCCGGTCAGAAATCAGCAGACGGGTCGTTCCCCAACTCTTGGGTTGAAAGGACCTCAAAACGCGCCTGTGCGAACGGGGAGGCTTTGGATTTGTCCAAGACAGACTCAACAAAGACTCGGGCATGCCCACCTTTGACCCAAGTGGATTCAAGGGAAACTTCCGACCCCAACCCAAAAACATGACCCCCATTCAATCTCCAGCGATTTCGGGCGAAGCACGGGGATTGCGTTCGGCGCCTGGCGTGCGCTCAACCAGCGGCTTTGGGCATCCGGGCGAGGCTCCCGTCGTAGTCGTAGAGGAAGAAGTGCTCCAGGCCCAGCTGGAAGTGGTACCTGAGATCTCGTCGCGGCCGCGGGATTTTTTTTGGATCCTAAGATCTCGTTGTGGCAAGTGAGGCCGACCCAAACCAACAAAACAGATCCTAAATTTTGATGGCCCTTGTCTCGTTGTGGGTGTGGCCAAGAAAAAAGGACACAGAATCTGGGCACGTGCTTTGCTAGAGCAGTAGTGTTGGTGGTAGGGAAGGGAGTTGAGATGACTTGAAGCAGGTAGTTGGGTAGATAGCTTTTCTAGTCAGAGCAGTTGTTGGTGGCAGATAGCTCACCAGCTTGCTGGTTAAGTGGTCTCGACCTGCTTAGACAGCCACCTGGGCAATTCATTGGAAGACTACGCGCGAGCTGGCTCTGAGTAGCTCGCTGGCTTGGCCAAAGCAGCTTGCCCGAGCATTGCCAGCACCCCTAGCATCCCCAGCATCAGCTGCAAACACGCGGGCGAAAACCAGGGGCAACCCAAATTTAGCGATCTGTACACCAAAACAGCTCCAAGATCCTGGTTCATCACGGAATCTACCACAACTTCACCCAACTCCCTTCCCTGGCAATTTCTCATTCTCGTTGGTCAGGTATAAAGGGTGTCGCTTACTGTACTTCTGCTGGGGCTGCTTTCTTAAGGGAAAGCAAAGTTCCATTTTGGAGGAACTCCAAGTCGCAGGCTGTCAAGAGTTGGAATCGAACAGTTTCCCCCCCCCCCCCCCCAACTTTTCGGCTTTTCAACCGTGCAACCAAAAGCCCAAGTGCAACCAAGCAGTTGGACCCGTGACCTCCATCGGAGTGCGGAAAGCGATGAACCGTGTATCCGGTGCTGCTTTTTGTGGGGGAGCGACATGCGTACCGCAGGTGCCAACATGTGAACTCGAAGGAACAGGCTGTGTCCATCGCAACTTGTAGGCACGCATTCACGAACGAAGCGACATGATTCACGAGCAATCTGAAAGCTTCCGACTAGTTTTGACATAGGGCCAATATTCATTGCACCCCCCGACAGGCGATATGACTTGTCTTTAGGAGTGTGATCGTCATTTTCAAAGACGTTCACACTCATGCTACAAATGGATCATGCCCTCCTTCCGACATCTGACTCGTCTTTAAAGACTTGCATCCCTACAATTTCAGGAAGGATCAACAAACGTTAAAACACCACGTTGTCCCAACCGCAAGGGTTTTGTGAAGGGACGGGTGCAACCAAACAGCCATGAAGCCAAAGCTTCCACGGCTGTTCCGCACAGGTTGCAAGGGTGCATTGTCCAGAAGAAGGTGTGGAGCAATGCCCGGGTGACCTGTTCACTTAATAAAATATAATTGTTCAATGTTCCTAGGTCCTTTTTTTTCTACGGGTACCCTTTTTTCTGTAGTCTACTTTTGTAGGGGAACCCTCCCCCAGAGAAGGGGGACCTAGGTTCAGTATGTCTATTTGAACATTGCCCAGTTCTCTTGAGAAAAGGGCACGCGGTCACGCATTAAAAGAGCTACATATTAAGCTTGCTGGTGCGATTAGCAGGGAATGAGAAATGGAATGACCCCTACAAATCCTAGAGCTGGTTTCCTTTAAGGGAATCAGGTTCATTCCCTCATTCCCTATCGCACCAGCAAGTAAAGGAGGTGACAGGTTCAACAGCTTGGAATGTCTGAAAGGCGACATCGACACCTCGGGCCGCAACTCCAGCCACTGCCGCAGCGCCTGAATGAGCACATTTTGGTGACCGTACTTGGGAGTTTGGACCTGGGAAAAAGCAGTTGGGGGGGGGGATCGGGCACTCTTTGTATGTGATTGTAATTGCATGAGTTGCATGATCATGGCAGTGATTCTCCCGGAATCTGATCATCAATGTAATGATGACTATTTGACGATTCCAACTATTTGGTAGTGTGGTGACCATTCAGTGATCACATTTGGGGACCGTTTGGCGACTATGCGGCCATTTGGCTTGCAATCTGTGAGGACATGGTGAGCACTCGGTTTGCCAGAAGCCAACCTGGAGGCCCCTTCCGGCGGCTGTCAAAGCTCCCAAGACTTTCGCACGAAAAACAAGCTCGCTCCAATTGACCCAGTCGAGGCCGGTTCTGAGGTTCTGAAGCTGTTGCTGGGCACCTCGTTTATCGCGTTGGACTGCAACCCAATTGCTGGGCTCCGAACAACTGGTTTGGCCAATCCTCTATCCCTGGAGGGCAACCACACAGGGAACCAAATCCTTAAGCAACCCAACAGAATTATTATGTGGAAACGGACGTCAAAGATTCACAAGCCGCTAATAGTTCGATCGGGGAAAGCACACCAAGCATCCAACAAAGTATGCCTGTCTCTTGCGGACACTGTTACAACCCTCCCTTCTGACGTTTTATCTCGGCGTATACCCTGTGATGAGGGTATAAATTCCCCAACCCCGCCACACTTGCCGTGTAGAAACCCGAAACCCACTTGGAGCAGCAACAAGAAGTTGGCGAACTCTCACCATTCACCCAAAAACACATGTTTTTTTTGCAGCAGGCACAACGGCAGCAATCACCATGGTCACTTCCCTTCGAAGCAGGCAAGGAAAACGCCAAGAAAAGTGTAGCAAACTGGTAACTGCGAATGCAACTCGCCAGCTTGGCTACCAAACAAAACCCACAGATACCACCGCACCCAAAAGCCGGGACCCACCGGCCCCATTGTTTTTCCATGATCAAAGTCACCCAAGTGATGGGTTAAAGGGAAACCCCATTTTCTGACTTTGATCAGCCCTAGCGGTCAAAATTCATGACCCCGGCCCCTACCTCTGCGCGTTCGAGCTTCCGCGTTTTGGGGGTCCCGGCGTCGCTAAACTTCCGCATGCCGCTGAAGGGGGCCGCGCAGGCCGCCAAGAGACCGCGGGGCGGCTCGCTGAGGATCTGGACCTCGGCCAAACGGGCCAAAAGCCGCCGGTTTTTTGTTGGGTCCAAATAAGTTGGCCCCAAAAGCAGCGGAAAAAACACAAAACAAAAAACAACTCCAGACCAGGTTGGTCCAAATGCTCTTGATTTTGGGGATCCAAACCCAGACCTGGTTGGCGCCTCCGAGCGGCTTTTGGTTCCCTTTAAACTAGCTTGGTCTTATGAACCTCTCCAAAAAGCTACGCTGATCAGTAACGGACAGTCACGAGCTTGAAAGGTCCACATTGCAAGCTGCGATTTATTTATTTTTTGGCTGTGGAAAGACTCAGATGTGCAGTGTGGCAAGCTGCTCACGGGTTGGTTCAAACCCTGCGACTTGCGGAGACGACTTACAAGTCTCAGCTTCTGCTCTTCGGCCAACAACAAATACTGATGAATTCTGGTCTGTGTTTACTGACTAGGTCCTCCAGCAGAGAGGGTACCTTTTTTCTGTAGTCTATTTTTGTAGGGGGATGTTCCTCCAAAAAAGGTAAAAAGGGCACTACTGGGGGACCTAGTTAACTGAACCTCAACATGTAGCATACTATGTTGAGGTCAGGTCCTCACGATCGATCCTCTGTAAAATCACCTTTTTGTTTTCTGTATCGCTGCGCCCCACTTTTCAAAGGGGGAAACTACCAGTTGCAGAGCTTCAGGTTCCCGAATTGGTGTGCGTTTTTTTTCTTGATCTTGTCGGTTCTGTAAGACTTCCTCAGATGTTGGGGCTTTGTCAGACGAATTCTGACTTTAAACGAATACCGCCAAGATTCATATTTCACCCCCCCTTTTCAGTGGTTGGGTCGCGGAAACATGGGTTGAGAGTATCATCAGTTACCAAACATTTCAAAGGTTTACACGTCCCAAAGAGCAAACATAAATCAATGGGTGGCTCTTGCAACCATCACGGCCCGAACACACCTAAAAATCAAAAAAGCGCTCTCGTGCGATAGTTCAAAGGGCTTGTGTGTCCGCAAGTCTGTGTCTCTGCTTGCCGGCATGTCTGTGTCTGTCTGTCTGTCTGTCTGTCTGTCTGTCTGTCTGTCTGTCTGTCTGTCTGTCTGTCTGTGTCTGTCTGTCTGTCTGTCTGTCTGTCTGTCTGTCTGTCTGTCTGTCTGTCTGTCTGTCTGTCTGTCTGTCTGTCTGTCTGTCTGTCTGTCTGTCTGTCTGTCTGTCTGTCTGTCTGTCTGTCTGTCTGTCTGTCTGTCTGTCTGTCTGTCTGTCTGTCTGTCTGTCTGTCTGTCTGTCTGTCTGTCTGTCTGTCTGTCTGTCTGTCTGTCTGTCTGTCTGTCTGTCTGTCTGTCTGTCTGTCTGTCTGTCTGTCTGTCTGTCTGTCTGTCTGTCTGTCTGTCTGTCTGTCTGTCTGTCTGTCTGTCTGTCTGCCTGCTGTCTGTCTGTCTGTCTGTCTGTCTGTCTGTCTGTCTGTCTGTCTGTCTGTCTGTCTGTCTGTCTGTCTGCGTGTGTCAATGTATCTTTGTTTGTGTGTATGGATTCATGCGTACATATACACAGGTATATCTCTCTGTGTGTGAAGGGTGTAGCTATGCGAAAAGGATTGTGTAGCCAAGCTATGGGTTTGCAGGTCCGCGCTGAAAAATGCAAGTCGTTGTTTCCATTTGAGGAAAATCTTTCAGAATTCCCGAAGCTGGAGACTTAGAAGACATATCTCTGTAGTGGGCGCCACGCAATCGGGGGCCTGAATATCGCTGGTAAAGATCAGCAGCAAAGTCACAGGCGCAAGCAGTTCGCATCTCATTCGAGCTCCAGCAAGCAAAGCAGAGGCCACGAGTCGGTTGAATCGGTGCGGGCCGGCAATCTAGAGTAATCGAAGCAAAGCATCTCCGCCGCCGCGCTCTAAATGGTCCTGGTCAGCCCTGGGGTGAGGGCAGGAGATCAGAAAGGCTTTGTGGACACCTCGCAAAGCGGAAGCACCGGAACTTGGCAGGCAGAAAGCTGGGTTAGTGGCTGGGCTTTAAACATCCGGATTTGGCACCTGAAGTTGACATGCGTCTAGGCTGCCATCCTGTCTACCACGACAGAAAAACCTAAAAACCACTATAAGGGGGCGGCGATAAGTGGGCCACAATCACGATAAGACAAAGAATTCCATAGAACCCCATTCTATTTGCGAATAGAACAAGGCAGAGTTCCATTCCTGTATAAAGTCCAACTCTATTCTTGTATGGAGTCCCCCTGTGTAGAGTCCCATTCTTTTTTTGGACTCTTTTGAATGGGGGGCCCAACACAGACCATTCGCAAATAGAACGGGGCTCTACCTGAATAGGACTTTGCAATGGGACGGGGCTCTACACAGGCATAGAATGGGCCTCTATACAATGCGACTTTACAAAGAATCCAATTCTTTGTCCATCAGTCCCACTCTATTCCCGTGCAGGACTCTATTCAAGAGCAATATTGGGCTTGGAATGGAATGGAACTCCGCATTCAAGTCCTGTGTAAAGAGTTCCTGAACAGACGGACTCTATCTATTCAGAGTCCCAAATAATGGGACAGAGCCCCATTCTGTTCTGCGAACAGAACGGGGCTCTATGCGTTCTGTTCGCAAATGGAACCCGTTCTATTCGCAAATAGAATGGGACTGTACCCCGTTCTGTTCGCGAACAGAATGGGACTCCGAATCAAATGGGTGGACAGAGTTCCTGGATTCTTCACAGCTGCTTGTCCTCTGCGCTTGGCTGATCCTCGCACAAGCAGCCAAGCGGCAAGGTGCCGAGAAACTCAGCAAGTATTTGTTGGCGCAAATGAAGGCCACCTGAGCTGGAAACCGAGCCTGGAAGGTGAGAGTTGGTCAGATAGCTTGGGCACAGCCAAGGAATCGGCGCCAGCTTACATCGCTTCCCTGCCTGACGCCAGATCTACGGAGCCAAGGCTCAGCCAACTGCAACCTTGACATGCCATGAGGGAGCATTGGCGAGCGAGACGGTGCACAATGGCACAGGCACTGATGAGCACATACAACCACACAGGCCCGCTTGTCCTCGTGCCTGCTGTGACCACACCCGGGTCCTGGCACATTGTGTTGGACTGCCAGGGAAACCGTCACGACTGTCTATTTCAAACTGCGACTCGCGCAAATGCGATCCAGCTGGAAGTTCAGATTTGGCGCAGCCTTGGTTCGGTGTGGCCGTTGGCTATGTCAGAGTCAGAGGCAAACCCCTCATTGGGATAGAGTTGGGTGGGTTACGAGAACAGCAAGTGTGTGTGTGTGGGTGTCAGTGAGTGTCACCATGACGATAGCAGCGCGTCAGCAGATCATCAGCTGCGCATCCATTTTCTGCCACAAAGATCTTTCACAAGTTTGACAGACTGCCGGAATCCGCTCTCCTTGGCGTCGCTTCACAGCTGCAATTTCCCCACGCGCATTCACACAGAATTGCGCTGTCCGTGACACGTCAGTGACAACGGTGGTTGTGACAAAACCGCTGCCATCTCAAGCTGCGGTGTGCTTAGACGTCGCAGCTCCTCTTGGTCTTCTGTCGCTTTTTGCCAGCAACTTCGCTTCTTGGCTTTCCAGACGTTTAAGTTGGACGATATTTCTGGCCCGCCTCGCTTCCTGGCTGGCAGCTTCTTGGACAGGCTCTGCTCTTTGCAAAGTCGCATTCTGTTCGCGAAGTACGAGACCGCACGTAAGGAGCAGAAAGCAAGGGACATTTGTGGAGCGGAAAAGTGCACACGCAGTGAGCGGAAAAGTGTGCGCGATCCACGCGGAAAAGCAATCCGGCTATTTTCCCTTTGCGGGGCCCGTCTCCACACCCGCGTGCGGGGCCTGGCAGCATCATTTGCGCGAGTGGTCTAAGGGGGTGGACTTCAGTGCTGCTGGCACCAGCTGTGAGGGCTCGAATGCCAGAGGTGCCAACGTTTTTGGGTCCCGAAAACACCGTTTGCCCCGTGATTGAAACTTTTCCCCGGAAGCGGGCGAGACTATGGGAAGACCACGGGAAGACTACGGGCAGCTACGAGAAGAGCACGCCAGGCCCGCTAGAATTCCGTGAGAATTCCGTCAAAATTCCGCGAGAATTCCGCCAAATCGGCACCAAGGGAAGACTACGGGAAGACTACGGGAAGAGCGCGCCAGAGTTCTGTGAGAATTGCAGCAAATTTTCGCGAGGGCAGGAAGGGACTATGGGAAGACTACGCGAAGACTATGGGAAGACTACGGGAAGACCACGGGAAGACTACAAACAGGAAATTCCGTCAAAATTCCGTGAGAATTCCGTTCAAATTCGGCAGGCAGGGAAGACTATGGGAAGGAAAGACTACGGGAAGACTACGGCCCGCTAGAATTCCGATAGAATTCCGTGAAAGACTACAGGAAGACTACGGGAAGACTACGGGCCGCTAGAATTCGGTATAATTCCGTCAAAAGTCCGTGAGAACTCACGGAATTCTAGCGGGCCGTAGTCTTCTCGTAGTCTTCCCATAGTCTTCCCTGCCTGCCGAATTTGGACGGAGAATTCCGTGAAAATTCCGTGAGAATTCCGTCCAAATTTGGCAGGAAGGGAAGACTATGGGAAGACGGAAGACTACGGGAAGACTACGCGAAGACTACGGGAAGACTACGGGAAGACTACGGGAAGAGCGCGCCAGAGTTCCGTGAAAATTCCAGCAAAATTTCGTGAGGGCAGGAAGCGACTATGGGAAGACTATGGGAAGACTACGGGAAGACCGCGGGAACACTACGGACGGGAAATTCCGTCAAAATTCCGTCCAAATTCGGCAGGCAGGGCAGACTATGGGAAGACTCCGGGAAGACTACGAGAAGACTACGGCGCTATATATAGAATTCCGTTAAAATTCCGTGAGAATTCCTCGGCAGAGAAGGAAGACTATGAGAAGACTACGGCCCGCTAGAATTCCGTCAAAATTCCGTGAGAAGTCCGTCGTGAGAATTCCGTCTAAATTCGGCAGGAGGGGAAGACTATGGGAAGACTACGGGAAGACTACGGGAAGACTACGAGAAGACTACGGCCCGATAGAATTCCGTGAGAATTCCGTCAAAATTCCGTGAGAATTCCGTCCAAATTTCGGAATTCTAGCGGGCTGTAGTCTTCTCGTAGTCTTCCCGTAGTCTTCCCGTAGTCTTCCCATAGTCTTCCCCTCCTGCCGAATTTGGACGGAATTTTGACGGAATTTCCCGTCCGTAGTGTTCCCGCGGTCTTCCCGTAGTCTTCGCGTAGTCTTCCCATAGTCTTCCCTTCCTGCTAAATTTGGACGGAATTCTCACGGAATTTTCACGGAATTCTGACGGAAGTGTAGCGAAATTCTTGCGGAATTCTAGCGGGCCGTAGTCTTCTCGTAGTCTTCCCATAGTCTTCCCCTCCTGCCGAATTTGGACAGAATTCTCCCGGAATTTTAACAGAGTTCTATCCCGTAGTCTTGCCGTAGTCTTCCCCTCCTGCCGAATTTGCACGGAATTCTCACGGAATTTTGACGGTCTAGCGGAATTCTCACAAAACTCTAGCGGGCCGTAGTCTTCCCGTAGTCTTCCCAAAATCTTCCCCTCCTGCCGAATTGGGACGGAATTCGCACGGCATTTTGACGGAATTCTAGCGGAATTCAATCGGGCCGAAGTCTTCTCGTAGTCTTTCCGTAGTCTTCCCGTAGTCTTCCCATAGTCTTCCCCTCCTGCCGAATTTGGACGGAATTCGCGGAATTCTAGTTCCCCTCCTGCCGAATTTGGACGGAATTCTCACGGAATTCTAGCGGGCCGTAGTCTTCTCGTAGTCTTCCCGTAATCTTCCCGTAGTCTTCCCGTAGTCTTCCCACAGTCTTCCCCTCCTGCCGAATTTGGATAGAATTCTCACAGAATTTTGACAGAATTCTCACGGAATTCTAGCGGAATTCCAGCGGGCCGTACTCTTCCCGTAGTCTTCGCATAGTGTTCCCCTATTGCCGAATTTGGACGGAATTGTCACGGAGTTTTGACGGAATTCTAGCGGAATTCTCAGTAGTCTTACCGTAGTCTTCCCGTAGTCTTCCCATAGTCTGAATTTGGACGGAATTCTCAGGGAATTTTGAAGGAATTCTATCCGTAATCTTCTCGTAGTTTTCCCCTCTAGACAAAACCAGCCCAAAAAAACAAAAAGGGGACAGTACGAACCTTCTTTATGCTCATTGTGAGTTCCTTTCTGCTCAAAACGGTTTTTTCTGCGCATAACAAGAACCCTGCTTCGCGAATAGAACTGGGCTCTGCATAGAATGGACAGAGTTCCATGCGAATGCAATGGGCCCATTCTGTTTGCGAAAAGAAGAACGGACAGAGTTCGATTCTAGGCGCGAATGGAATGGGCTCTACCTGTTATAGAGCAGGGTTGCATTCCATTCAATTCGCAAATAGACGGGGGCCCTGAATAGAATGGACAGAGTTCGCGAATGGAATGGGCTACCCCGTTCTGTTCGCACGGGAACGGAATGGGACTCTGAACAGAATGAAGTTTTTTTGGCGAATTCAATGGGGCTCTACCTTGTCCTGATTGTGAATAGAATGGGGCTCATGAATCGTCGAGCAGGAGCTGCGACGTCTTCGCAGGCTCACGTGTGCCAATATCCAAGCTGCTGGTGGTTCCGTTGTGCGTGATGTTCGCGTGCGTGTTCACGATGGTGCTGGTGATGTTTGCAACAAGGACAGAAATAAAGAAATAAAGAACCATGAAAGGAAACAAGGATGGCATCAGTACAACTATAGCTTTTATACTTTTTGAAGCTTCCGCCCACCGGCTTCGCTCTGCTGGTAAAAGGGGGCTAAATGACAACCATACTTCTCCCATGCCGATGAGATAACTTGGTTCAATAGAACCCCGCAACTCCCGCTTATCACACGGCGGTTGTTTCCCTTTACCCAATTAGTTGGGCGACTTCGACATTGATGGAAGGTCTGACTGCTGTGACTTCTCAAACCCATGATTTATCAAAACATCACGTGCCAGACTTTAAAAATCCATCAAACCATTGAGTGACTTTCCCTTTTAACGGGGTCACTGGGTTGCCCCTTCTGGAGGTTCCCTTTAAAGGGGAATTGCGCGGAAGCCCGATTGAACCTTCCAAAAACTGAAAGCCCCTTTGCCACGGACTGCCGAGGTGCCGGCAGATCCACCAGGTCCCAGCCGTCGTCATCCTCGCCTGGGCGTCCCACTTGCGCTTTGAAAATTCCCGTAAAGGAAGCCACAGCCGGCTGGTTCCTTTTTAAATCTTTAAAGCTTTTTGAATCTTTACAGGATTTCTGTAAGGATTTTTGAAAGAAAATGGTTGCTACGAAAATTCCGTGAGCAGCAAAAACACATTGCCTGCCGCGCAGCTCAGAACCTTCGAAAAGGAAACATCATGTGAGCTGTTGCGCAGCCTGTTGGATGCGAATTTTGAACCTGTGCAAGTTTAGACACCAACATATGAGCTGCCTCCGTTCAAAAACGCCATGGGTATGGAAAGAACCCAGCTGCGGATCATTGCAGTCAAGCCTCTGGTGTGGCAATGCATCTTCCTGGCAACATATAAATACAAACACATACCCGCAAAATGCAAACACAGACGCGCAAAACAAAATCACTTGCAAGCACAACCACGAACAGAACCTCCCACGCAATCGTCACTATCGTCACAACAGCCCCCCCAGTAACAACCGTCATAACCCCTAGCTTCATGCCATTTATTTACCTACATGAGGCAATAACACACATGAAGGTTGGGATTCGAAGCCAACTTCAGGGGGCATGAATCCTGGGCAGGGACATGGAAGCCATTGAGACAAACCTCCGTGTTGTTTCAAAGAAAGCTCATTCAATTCAAAATTCAAAGCGCTAATGGCCCCACTCTCCCGCATCTCCAATCTTACTGAACCATACATGGGTATGTGTCAGTCAAAATAGGGGGCAGCCAATAAATGTGGTTCTGTATTATGTTGCTTTGAACCAACCTTACAAAAGATACCCTCAAACAACACAATGCCATATCAATACCCTCTGCCTCCCGTCCTCGCCTCCTCTTACCGGCGTGGGATGCAACTGGAATGAAGTGATTGGAAGCCTCTACTGCAAAAACCGACAAAAACGCTCGGTTTTGACATGCTTCGCGTGGCAACTAGCCCAGGCTGAGTGAGTGTGTGCATGCCCGCGCGTTGCACGTGCTCGCGCGGGCGTAAGTGCGCGTGAGTGCGCGGGCATGGGCGTGCGTCAGCGTGCGCGCTTGTTGGCTCTTGTCAGTTGTTGTTTGTTGCCAGTGACAAACGCAGAAAACAAGTTCCCCTTCATCAAAAAAATGGCAGCCGGAGACAGCAAGCAAATGGGAGACTCTGTTAAAAAGACCCACTTCACGCAACCAGGCAGGCCAATGACAAGTCCCGAAAAAATCCACACTGATTAACAAATAGCAGCCGGCTGTACTAAAGGAAAAAACCTTCACAAACGCAGCAACCCGACCACGCGGGCCAGTGTTTCAGGCACTAAAACCCCAAAAATGGCAGCCAATGGTTGCTGCCGTAACTCCATTCCTGCCCAGTCCGTAACGTACAGCTGGATCGGAGGAAACGGACACGGCCGACCTGACAGAGGCAAGGCTGGCACAACTTAAATGAATGGAAAACCCAGCACCTACTTGGCAAGTAACAGCGGGGCTCCTGTCTGGCCGGCTGAACACGCTGTCGCGCAACAAGCCGGGGTCCAGGAGGCCCAGACCCGTGGCCGGGACAAAGTGGAGGCCGCGAAGCATGGCGTGGGGCTCCCGCTCCATGACGTCAACCTGCTCCCGGGCCACTCGGATCCGATCGCGCAAATGTCCTTTGGGCAAACTTCCACTACTACGCTTCTCGGCTTGTCGCGCCCGGTCCTGAAGCAAAGAGTGAGGCAGGAGGTGCCCATGGCGCTCATCACGGCAAACTGCGCCAAAGTGCGGCTGGAGAGGAACCATCGCAGCCTCAAGTGACTGTAAGCTTGATGTCACGGGAACTTCTGTGGCCAGCCAGGGAAGGGCGTCTCGCCCACGTGCGCTCAAGCACCGAGCTGGGTCCAAACACAGCCAGCACCTGGAAGCGCGGCGAAAGATTGACGAAAAGCAGCAGGCCAGTGACAGGCCCTGCCACCTTCATCAAACAAAATGGTAGTCAGGCACCACAACCAAATGTCCACTTCACGCAAGGCAGCAGGCCGACCAGGCAGGCCAATGACAGACAGGTCCCACAAAAAACCCACCTTCATGAAAAATTAGCAGCCAGAGGCAACAAGCAAATGGAAGGTTTGCTAAAGAAAAAACTTCACGAAAAGCAGCAGGCCGACCAAGCAGACTTCACGAAAAGCAGCAGGCTGACCAAGCAGGCCAATGACAGGCCAGGGAAGAAACCGCCTGCACCAAAAAATGGCAGCCAAAGACAACAAGCACGTGGGAAGCTCGACAAAATTCCCACTTCGCAAAAAACAGCAGCGGGATCAAGCGGGCCAGTGACAGGCTGCGCGCGCGCAGAGCCGCTTGTTGTGGTGGTGGTTGTTGTGGTTGTCATTCTTGCTGTTGTCGTCGTCGTTGCTGCTGTTGTTGCGGGTTTCTTATTTTACTTGTTTTGTTGGTCGGAAAAGAATTGTTGCGTGTCCAATCAACATTCGCATCTGCTGTGTGCCCGGGGTCTTGCCTGGTAAAAACTCTAGATCTTCTACTGATCTTCCGGCGCTTCGCGCCGTCGAGCCAGCGGCCGTGCTCCAGCTCCCACTTGGCGGTCAAATTTCGCATTGCCTGAGACAAAGCCTATGCGTTGCGAACGCACCCCTTATGCACTGCGGCAGCAAAAGCAGCCTCATTCTCGGCGAAGGAAGCGCTCACGGCATCAGAGCGGTCCTGCATGACCGGCCACAGCAGCACGGAGCCTTGTTGCGTTAGACAGCTTCGTCAGGCCGGCCAGGTTCCTGAGGTTGAGCACGTCCTCCGTTCTGGAACACAGCTGCACTCTGCTCTTCTGTCACTCTGCACAAAGTGGCACGCTGCCGGTTGGCCTCCAGTCGGGTGACGGCAGCCTCTGGCACTCGCACAGCATGCGCTTGACCCTGCCAGCCTCGTTGTGCAAGGTGAGCGAAGACGAAGCCGTACCACGGCATGGAGTCTTCCGTTTTAGCGCGAGCAAGGTGTACCCGAGCTGCGCTGCGGGGTGCCAGGAGCCACAGGTATTGCCGGGCTGCGCCGCGACTTCATGCGTCAACGTCCGCTTGAGGTAGCAAAATGCGGCACGTGCAAAAATGCAGCACGCTCAGTCTGAGCTTCTGCCATTTGCGCACAGCTGACAGGATATCCAGGCTCAACACCAAAGCACGCTGTCAATGCGACTCGCGCTTGCGAAGCCTTTGCAAAGAGAATCTCCGTGGGCTGGGTGTGGCTGTGGTGATTGTTGTTGGCGTTGTTGTTGCTCTTGTTGTTGCTGTTGTTGTTGGTGTTGTTGCTGCAAGCGCAGGCGCCCTGTTTGGCGGAGAAAGAGCTGGCACATGTGAAGCTCAGCGTTGCGGTGCTGCCGCGGCCGGTTGTTCGCCAGCAACGTAAGTCCGGCCTCGCCGTGCCATGTCGCCCAAAGGGGCGCGCGCCTAGGCTTTGCCTTCCGACTGACGGTTGCTGCTGCGACCCCTCTTTTGGCGCATCATCACCGCCCGTGCGACCATTGGAGCTCGAGAAACCAGGCTGCATTGCCAGCATTGTCGGCGCTTTCGGAAGCCCCCCTGTTTTGCGCATGACCTGCATCCCTTGCATCGCCCGCGTTTGGGGCCAGCCTTCCCCAAGACATTCCTGATGACGCGCGTGCTGCACACACGCACTTGCGCAACATGGGGGCCGCAAGCAGGCAACCAACCAACGATCCAACCA